TGATTTGTATGTAGGCAGCTAGGTGGCATAGTAGATAGAAAATGCTGAACTCGATCAGGAAGACGAGTTCAGTTCCTTGAGCTCAGGCACTAGATATATGAGTCTGGATAAATTACTTAATGGCTCTCAGCCTCAGTTTCCACATCTTTAAAATGGAATCATGCTAGCACCTACCTCCCAAAGTTGTTGTAAGGATCAAAGGAAATACTTGGCAAACCTTAAGATACTGTGTAAATACTAGCCCTGTGTGCATGTGTATAGTTAAGAAAGTCTTCCCCTCCAATGAAATGTACTGAGGCAGATTGCCTTTGTAGAGTGTGCTTACAAATTGCTTTCATCTGTTGAAATAATTGCAGAGCTAACTCTTCTTCCGGGTTTTCCTACATATCAGCCTATATAAAGTGCTTTGCAAAACCTTAATGTTTTCTAGAAACTTTTTGTTGTTGTTGTTGTTAATTTCAGTGTCAGAGATCTCCATCCTTGGCTAGACTAATCCTTTGGGTCACAGACATGAAGGCAATTACTGGTTTTGTACTCAAAACTTTTTTGCTTTCTAGGACCTACCAGAGCATACGTTCCATGGTCTTCTTCATGCCTTGATGAAGCATCAGAGGGTGTTAGTGGAAGACAAATATGTCTAAGAGACCATGTGGCATGGGAGTTAGAGTGTTCAGGCTCAGAGTTAGGAAGACCTGGGATACAGCCCACCTCTCTCTCCTTATTAGCTTTGTGATCCCAGACAAGTCAATTAACTTCAGTATGCCTCTTGCAACTCCCAAAGACTTATCTACTAATTCTTCAGGACTTCGTTGAGTCTATGATTATTACCTAAATTTGCCAGGTCTCCTCTGGATCTATGATCTCAGTGACAAGAGTAATCCCTCCAACAATACAGGTCTCATTCTTCTCAGCCTCTCCTGTCCAGCATCTGTCCATGTCTTCCCATAAGTTCACCACAGAGGACCCAACCAATATACTGTAAGCCTCCCGCAAATCCTCTTCACTTTAGGAAGGACATTATTAACTGAATTCCTCAAAGTGTAGAAATCTTAAATCCTTTAAGGATTCTCATTTGCAAGGTTAAATATATTAAACATGGATATTCATGGACTGATGAAAAGTTTTTTCAGATTTAAAAACAAAAAAGGCAATTCAGAAGATCTTAGAGGCCACATTCTAAGTATTCTTCTATGACAAATATAAGAGAACCATCAGAACCATACTTAAACATATCGATTAATTAACAAGCATTTATAAAGTGCCTACTGAGAGGAATCATTATTTCTCTCTTTATTTAATAACTAATTATTATATTGGGACCAAGGTTTTCCCCTTTTTCTACTTTCTCATCCAGAAATAAACCAGTGTGGGAAATCTTTCTCAAAGATTTACCCAGGCCAAGATCTAATCAGACAGTAAAAGAAATTTGAAGATTAGGCTAATGAGAGGATTCCTGTTCATTGTGTTTACTCACACAGGGGAAATGTTGATTCTCCTTTTTGTCAAACAGGTGAAATGGAAACTGATAAGTCTCTTTGACCAAAATCCATGTGATCCAAGTGACATACCCCAAGATGCTCATTGTAATACATTGTAATACCCTCTTACTGTAATATTCATTCTCTCATTAATTGTTAAGCAGTCGGAGTTGATTACCACCTTCAGGAACACCTACTCTTCCCAGGGCATATAAACTGTAAGTCTACTGCCATGAGGGGTCTTTGGTCTAAGAGAGACAGCAAAATGACCATCCTTTTCAGTAATTAACATGCTGGTTTTGTTAACAAAAATTATCAAATTACCCAGAAGCTATATCTCTCAAACTTTTTAAATGTCTCACTGCTGTGTGTCAGGTACTGTGTTTTATGCTAGGTATACAGATACATCCTTCAACTTGACATTTAAACGCTTCACAATCTGTCTCTAGCCCACCTTTCCAGGCTGTTCAAATGTAGTTTGAACAATGTCCTCAAAGGTTACAAATTCACAGATAAACAAATACAGGCTATATACAAAACAAAAACAAATTGATGGGGGGAGTGGTTACTAAAAACCAGAATAATCCAGAAAAAAAGAGATCTGGAAGGAGGTAGCCTTTGAATTAAACTTTGAAGGAAGCTGGAGAGGGGTTCCTAGAAATGTAAATCAGCAGGGAGAGCATTTCAGGCTTAGGGGATGAGCCATGCAAAAGTACGTTGGGGGGTGGGGGGGGCAGCAGCTAGGTGGTGCAGTGGAAAGAGCACTGGGCTAGGAATCTAGAAGATGCATCTTCCTGATTTCAAATCCAGCCTCAGACACTTACTAGCTGTGTAACCCTGAGCAAGTTACTTAACCCTGTTTGCTTCAGTTTCCTCATCTGGAAAATGAGGTGGAGAAGGAAATGACAAGCCACTCCAATATCTTTGCCAAGAAAATCCCAAATGGGGTCATGAAGAGTCAGACATGACTGAGCAACAAAGGTTTGTTGGGAGAGATAATGAGGGATTTTTTTTAGCTATGCTTAGTTTGAGATATCTGTGGGACACTTGGGTAGAGATGTCAAGCAGGTAGGTGGAGACTGGAACTCCAAATCAAAATGAGAGCTGAAAATGTAGGTATGGAAATAATCTACATAAAGATGAGAATTGAATCCATAAAAAAACTGATGAGTTTCTGAAAGTGTAGGAAGAAAAGAGTATGGGGCCCAGGGAAGACCCCTGGGGTACAGTCACTTATGGGAGGTAGGACATGGATCAAGAAGGCAGAAAAAGAAACCCAAAAGAGTAGTGTCAGATGCTCAGAGAAAAGATCCTCTAGAAAGACTGATGGTCAACGTATCAAGGAAGATCTCAAACTGTATTCCAGGAGCACACAAGCCCCTTGAGATATTCAGCAGACAGAAAAAATATGTCAAATATTGAGCCACGTGACTAGTACAGTGTATGGACCAACCCACACTTTCTAGTCCCTTTAGCATAATGGGTACTTAATGCTTTTTCCATCCCAAAAGTTGCCTCTCTTAGGAATCACAGAGAAAATGTTTAGGAAGGACTTGAGAATGAAAATGTAATTAATACTAGGGAATTCCTTAGGTACTTTTCATCTAGAACTACCATTTTAAAGCGTAGGATCTGGGAGTCTGTAAGAGCATCAGATGTTTTACTTGAAAAGCACACTAGAAATAGAATGCCTTCGACAGAGATGTGGTGGACATTTGGGGGAAGGGAAGAGCCCCTTGGTCTTAAGCAATTTCACAAATAATATAATCCTGTGAGCCAGTATAGAAGTAGCCTGGAGGCATCGTTTAAATTCCATATTATTCTAAGTGCTATTATCGCTGCTGTTAATATTGCCACAGGAACATAAAAAAGTAACATGTCTTAAGGGAGCTGAGTCGGCCTGGTTTAATTGGCTTGCTTATCTCTGCCCAGCTCTATAATTTACCTCTTGTGGGAGTTTTGACCTATAATTATCACCTTGTGTGTTTTCTTTGTTATGGAACTCCAGGAGTCATAGCAACAGGGCTGGTCATCCTGGGGGTGGTCATTTGGGATAGTGATGAAAACTTCTTGTTTATATTAGTTAAATGAATGCTGCATTCTTATGAGAGTGGGGGGCCAGGTTGCAGGGACTGATAAAAAAGGGGGGTTGGGGCTGCTCATTTTGTTCCAAAGGTTAGGTAGAAGTCAGTTGTAAGAGATGATGCCAGTCTGACTCAGAGAGAATGACTGCATTTTATTTCAGCATCAGTGAGGTCTTCTATAAAAAAGTTTCTTCCTACAGTGTCTTGGTTTCATCCATAAAGATAGGCTGAGAAACGCAAAAAAAGTCTACAACTTTAAAAATAAAAATGTTCTTACCCACTTCCAGTATTCTTCTGTCTCTGTCATTATTGTTAATCATAATAATCATTAACTAGCATACATACCCTGAATGATTGTAACTGGTGCTGTCGTTTATAAGAATTAATAATTATGTGGTATTAATATTAGAACCCATATAAAGTGTTGGGCTTGGCACCAGGAAGAACTGGGTTCAGATTCAGCCTTTGAGGCTTACTGTGTCCCAGAAAGTCATTTGACCTCTTAAGTGCCTAAACCTATCTGCTAGGTCCTGAAAGGATTACAGTCTGCTTTAGAGAAGGAAGTTCCCACACCAAGAGTTCATTCAAGAAGAGTCGACTAATCTTATACCTATTATGACTAATATTGGGTTGCCTTTTAACATAAATTTAAATCATTAAATTTTAATTAATTAATTTTCATTATATAAATTATATAAGTAAACTATTGAAGTTTAATAATAATAATAAATTAAATTAAACATTATTAACATTGATTCAGGTTGGTTATTTCCATTGCTTGTTTTGCTTTGGCTTATCATAGTTAAAATAATCATGCAAATTAGCAGAGACCTGACACCTAGTTGGGTTAAACCATGATGAAGCTGAAAGAAATCAAGTAACTTTAAAAAAATAACAAATAAAAATTGAAATGGCAAATTTATCCAAGCATCCAGGGCTCATTTCTACTTTTCATTTCTTATTAGATATTAAGTATAACAATGACTGGTGAAAGATTCACAGGGCACATATAAAATGTTAGTAGGCATGAAGTATTTTTTTTTCTAATTTTCTCCAAGTCTGTTTTAATAAGTTAAATTGGCAGAACATTCTTGGTTACCAACTTTTTAAAAAGTATTAATATGATAGAAATATGCTGTTAGAATCATGAAAATTGATGTTTCAAAATATAGATCCTTAAAATATTTAATATATTTCAAAAAATTCGTATAGTTCAGAACAGGTTTGTTTCTCCTTGCTGGTAAGCATATTTGTTTGTTTTCAATAAAAAGCTGTAAATCTTTGTGAATGGGTCCTTGAAAACAAAGTTTTCTGAGGAGAACAAAATTTTAAAAGATATTTTTTTAAGTTATGAAATCATTGACTTTCTTTCCAAGACTAGCTCATTAAAGGAAATACAAATTCGGCTTTTATTTGTTTGTTTATTTGTTTTATGCAGACCTTTAATGCCTGAAGAATGCAGACCCACCATTCAGCCTGTCCAGCCCCTAACATCGGAATGCTCTCGGCTTTGTAGAAATGGCTACTGCACGCCTACAGGAAGATGTTGCTGTAGTCCAGGTTGGGAGGGTGACTTCTGCAGAATCGGTTAGTATTTCACCATAACTGCAAGGGTTTGGAATAGGAATGGGGAGAAAGAGGTGGGTCTTGTGTGGGGAACAGGACTCTCACAAACTCAATAATACCACTCTAGTAATTTTTTTCTAGAAACTTGTAAAGTTTAAATGACACTTGCCAATTTGCAAAAGCTTCAAAGAACACTCTTTTTCAAGGTTTAAAAAGGAAACTTTTGCCTTATTTTCATGGGCTGAATTCTGCATTTGTGTAAGCCAGCCTTATCTGTAATGAGAGGATTTATAGGGGATGAAATCCAACTAGGATGACTTTTAAAGTCTTTTCCATTACAAATTTTAAGATTTCACACACGAGCCAACTTCTGCTTCAAAAGGTAGGAAAGTCAATACACTGGCCCGGCATGGTGGGTCATTTCCTACCCATTTGTTTTCCTTCCATTTAGAAAGAGAGCACAAGTACCATATCCCTACATTGGCTCTTCCACAAACCTGTACTTTCCCCAGTCATTCACTGTCACAAAGTGAATCTTAGCTTGGACTTGGGGGTTGCATAAAGAAGGTTAAAAAAATGTGGACTAACATTAATGGTGTGAAATTGAGGGAAAATTCACAAATGTGATATCCTGTGATTTTACACATAAGAAAAGGATACCTCTGGATTGTTCTTCCTTCCTGCTTTCTTACCTTCATTCCATCATTTTATTTCTTTCTTTCTGGTCAAACTAATTTCATTTGGTTTTAAATTATATGCAAGAATAAATTAGCTAAAACTCAGAGATTTGCAGAAATGTATGCATTTGCATTAGACTTGAAGTCATGTGTGACTTAGAAAAGAAAAACAAACTACTAGGGGAAAAGAAGTCCAAATATTGAGGTTGAGTCTTGCCAACAAAAATAAAACTCCTAATTTAAATTGGATTTTGCTTTTATTTCAGATAGAAAACTCATGAAATTTCCTATTACTCAAAACTTCTTTGAATGCCTTTTTTATTTATTTTAAAGATCCATTCTGTTACAATGTTAACCTAATATTTAGAATTAGATAAAACTTCTAAAATGCATTACAAATTTAATTGCTACTAATAAAAACAAATAATCAAATAAATGTATATAGTAAGGAATAAAATCTTGCATAACACCTTAACATATAACAGCAGAACCACATGACTTAATAAGAGACAAGGAAACAAAAAGGTTTGTTCTGTGATTTTTCCATGTCTGTCTAAAATTTTTTTACCTCTGGATATTTCTTCCTTCCTACTTTCTTGCCTTCTATAGGCATAGCAGAGATTCAGGCACACAGTAAATGTTTAATAAATGCTTGGCAACTAATCAATAAAGGTTACATAGTTAAGCTAATATTCAAAACAACCTTAAACTGGCTACCGTATTTCCCATTTTGTTTTCTCTGTCAGAATCAATTTTAGTACGTACTGTAGTAATCAGTTCATATTAGGTGCCTGGTAAGCTCTATTGCTGCTTTTTTTGGAAACAAGAAGGAAATAAATTCTAAATAAAAAATGCCTAAACTCATATGAATTTCAAATTTTTAGTTAATGAAGTTTATTATTTTAGCCTTTACCTACAAAGTATATAACTTCTGTAGAAATAATTACTAAATAATATTTAAAAGATTGATATGTTGAAGAAACTGAAGACATTTGTTACATATAAACAAATTCACATGTTGGTATTCTTATTCCAAGGAGAAATATGTTTGTACAAATGTAGCCCAATATGTCCATCTTCCCCAACTTTGGGGGATGAAATATTTAACTTTTTCTATATCATTTCTTCCCCGGATGTCAGCACCCACACTATTAGCAGCCACTCTGAAGACTTGGCTAAAGCATTTGAAATAACCTTGTCTGCACAGTAGGAGAGTCAGTATTTAAAGAAAAGTACTGTCAGGGTTTAAATACTCTCACTAAGCCCCCTCAGGGAAAAGTATATTGACTCCTATCCCAAGATTCACCCTGTTAGCAAAGACAATAGTAGACAAGCCTAATCTCCCTCCTTCATTGCTATTTCCAAAGTAACTATTAGTAGTAAAATATCTGAAGCTTAGGGTCAGGATTGGGGGAGAGTAGGGGAAGAAGTAAAGTTTATGTGTTAATGATTGGATAAAAGGTGTTATCACAGCCAACTTTTGACTACCCACCCCTACAAATGGAAACAGAGGCCTGGAGAAATATAAACCCCTCTGCTTTTGACTTTAAAGTTTAATTTGAAAAATCAACACATAGTTGGATACCTAGTCCCTCAGTGTCTCAACAGGGAAAAAAGAGGAATTTCTTTGTGGAGACCTAAACCCCCATTAGAAAAGGCAGTTATTTGATTTACTAGGGTTTTTGGTTTTTTTTAGGGAGAAGGAGGTTCCTCAGTGAATCTTGCTTCTTCAGAAATAGCTTCATGGTTCTAAAATATTTTTTTTTCTGTGCATGGTGGCACATACCCTGTAATCCCAGCAACTGGGGAGGCTGAGGCTGGTGAATCTCTTGAGCTAAGGATTTCTGAGCTACACCAGCCTATGCCAGTGGGGTGTCCATAGTAAGTTGAGCATTAATATGGGGAGACCCTGGGACCAATTGACCACCAGATTGCTAAGAGAAGCAGCATGTTAAAGCTCCCATGCTGATCAGTGAGATCCGGTCCATGAGTAGCCCCTGTAGATCCAGCCTGGGCAAAGTAGATACACAGCATGTGTCCCTAAAAAAAAAAGTAAATAATTTCAAATCACACAACCCCATTTGTATGTTTTTGAGACAATCTCCTATCAACAGTGAGTTTTCTACTGCTCTATTTCTACATTCACAGAATTTGCTTTTCTTCATTTTATTTTCCAGCAAAATGTGAGCCAGCCTGTCGCCACGGAGGAGTTTGTGTTAGACCAAATAAGTGCCTATGTAAAAAAGGATACCTGGGACCTCAATGTGAACAAGTGGATAGAAACATCCGCAGAGTGACCAGGGCAGGTATTCTTGATCAGATCATTGACATGACATCCTATTTGCTGGATCTAACAAGTTACATTGTATAGTTTCGGGGACTTCTTGGATTCTCCTTCCTGATGGGCATTTATTTTTAATCCTGTCATTTAAAAAAAAGAGAGAAACAAAATGAAAAGACTGTTATCCTGCTACAAATTCCTGTGATTTCATTTCCTTTTTGATTAATTTAAAAAATCCTTTCCACAAACATGCGGATACTATGTGTGCACATGTATGCCGTCTATGTATGTGTGTATATATATGTTATATGTATCATAATATATATGAATATATACACACACGTGTACCCACACTCATCCATCCCCTACCCTCGACCCCGCAAGTGTGGCTGCTTCCTGGTGGATTTTTTTGAAACTACGTTTCCTTTCATGGAGTAGTTTACACAGTGAATCCACTGTACACTGAGAAAGGACATTTTTTATGTCACCAGAATAGATTCTTTGACATCCCAGCCATTTTGTGTCTGTAATAATTAAGAATAATTTTTAAGATGGAGTTTTGAAACACTACACTGTATAAACTGATGGATTTAATCCTTTGTTTTAAAAAAAAGCAACATTTTTAAATAGAAGGACTATATGATGAGATGATGTTTCAGAACTCCTTGATGCATTTCTAAATGGGCAACTTGATATAAAATTGTAATCTTCACTTTCATCAATGTATTGCATTACAGAATGTTATGCACTTACCTTTTTATTGACATAGAAATCGGGTTACCCCAGCTTAATCTCCAGATTGTTTTCCAGTGTTTTATAATTAAATTATATCAGCATATTTCAAAACCAATCATCCTAAAAGGTCTGTTTTTTATTATATATTTTATTTAACAATAAGCACTGGGTTCATGTTACATATTTATATTATTTTATTTTATTTTTATAATATAGACATCACCTAGATGAAACCGCTTTACCATGTCCTGTAAAATACTAAAGTTACATTTTTCACCAACTTAATTGGAATGACGGGGAGTGAGAGAGAGCAAACATGCTCTTTAATGTGCTGTGGATCTAAGCTAGCCATGTATCCTTGGGTCAACATGTAATCATTCACGACGGGATGAAAAAAAGCAAGAAAACAACCAGTCATTTTAAAATTCCAGCAGTAAACATTTGTAAAGTGCTTTTCACCATAGCAGGACTGCCCAGATTGTATGGGATTAGAACTGTGTCGATTTCACACTGCATGGAACTCTCCTGGAGAAGAGCTTATCCTGAACCAATCTTGGAAAGCTCTTTACATAACGAATTCTTGCCAAATAGGACTTTTCATGTAAGTGTCCCTTCAGGATGCCATGGAAACCTTCACTTTGGTTAATGTATCAATAAATCTTCTGTAAATGTATTGTTCAGATTTTTAAAGAAATGAAATACTCTAATTTAAACCTGAGAAAGACAAGATCTTCTGACTGGTTGGCCTTTTCTTAATGGTTTTAAGTGGCCAGTTTGCCACCTTCAGATTGTAATAATAGATTAGGTTTCTTTGCACTACTGAAAAAAAAAATCTACTCATGATGAGCACACTCCTATAAACACCTGTTCCTTCTGAGTCCTGGGTACAGTGTTGTAAATTAGGCAGTGTAGACTGGCTTTTCAAATGTGTTCCATTTCTCACCTTTAGAAAAATAAGCCTTGATTGGGGTAGAGAGGGGGTAGTGAAGGAGGAGGAGGGGAGAGTGAGGAACAGTATGTTAGTAGGCAGTATTTCTCTGTTGTTTTAAAGTGAGAGCTCTATAATTAAAGCCAGGGAGCATTTATAACTAGACCACAATGCAAAAGGATGCGTTAAGTCCACTGCATTTGTCTTCCATATATGATTGCTTCAGTTTCCAGTGACCTCATGGCAAATGGAAATTGGTTGAGAAATCTTGGTCCAGTGCTTCGTGAACAATACCCTGCATTAAAAAGTGCATGCATAATTTTGCACGATTTAGATTCAATTGACAGTCTATTCAAAGAAGTCTTGGGATTAAATGAGCATGGAGACCAAATTGCCCTCTTACCCCAGAAAAGGGGTGGTCCCTGCTAGTCCCACTAACACTTCATTGGCCCAATGGTGTGACAAATCTTGCAATGAACCCTGCAGCGGCTTGCATCTGTAGGTTAAGAGCAGTCTTTTGTCTCTGTTGCTTTCTCTTCCTAGCCCCTGTGCTAAATTCCATCACAGAAAAAGTTTGACAATTAAGAAAATGTCCTGACAACCATTTTTTTGTAAATTGACCTTACCATCTAATCTTCTCCTAGTCAACGTGGGTGACATTAACAAAATGTGAACTTCTCGTGAATAAACCAGCTGTCTAAATCTGTCAAATCATGCAGTTTTATTACATGTTAAACTCTGTAATTTCTGCAAAAAAACACTAGGGACACTGCCGTATTTTCAGCAAAATCTGAACCATTCAAACTTTCTTCTTACATATTTAACATATTTCCAAAAAGATCATTTGGCCAACACTTCTGTTAGTTACATTTCCATTAAATGAAGGAAATTTCTTTTTCCCAAGTTGAAAGAGTTCCAAGTAGCTTTAGAGATCCTTATAAGCCCCAGTTGTCACTGCCTTGCTTGCTGTGGGTTTTTGGAATAGAAGATGAAACTCTAAAAGAAAGATAGCCCCTTAGTCTGATGGACTTTAAACTGAAACATGCTATCAGGTCCCTGTTGCCTCTTTTTGTCAAGGGGGGGAGGAGATATCAATAACTAATTAATGACCAAAAATTGAAACTTGCCACTCAATTTTTTTTTAAATCCAGTGGACATTTCTTTTAGAGCAACTTTTCATACACATCTGTAGGAAATCTTCTCAACTGGCTTATTTATGGTGGAAAGCAGGTAGGAGATAGTTAAGAGGTATGTCATAAAAGGTAATTATTTCACCCCATATAAGTCAATCACCATTTAGCTCCAACAGCTCATGTTTTAAAAATGGAAATGAGGAAATATGTACAAATTTAGAAAAAAAAACTAATGAAAATCATTATGTGTCAAACACTCTTTTCCCCCTGGTCATTGGCTTTAAATTTAAAATAAGTTTTACATGAGATCTGGTATTGCAGTTACCCAATGTGGAGGGAAAAAATGCCATACTTTTCTATCATCCCATTAACCTCCAAGCCTCCCACTCTGACAAACAAAATTGCCAGTCTGTGAGAACTTTACCCTGAGCTAATACACACTAGTTCTCATCACATTCATTTGAAGGTATTATGTCCAGTCACTTCTTTCCCACCTGAAAAATCAAAATTCATGGTAATAAGATGACTAACCTAATAATTACCCAGTACTTAAGTTATCTTTTTACACCATCTGTTTTCCATAATATTTATGGCACTGTCCAATGAGCTGTCTGTTCAGTCTTGTGGAATACATGTTAGTTTCCTTATTTGTCCCATTAAGCCATGGGTCCTTAACTGTTTTTGTGTCATGGACCCCCTTTGGCAGACTGGTGAAGCCTACCAATCCCTTCTCCAAATGATCTTTATAATATAAAAAAATATACAGAATTATAAAAGAAATCAGTTATATTGAAATCCAGTTACTAAAATAATTTTTAAAAACAAGTTCTCAGACCCCATTTTATGAAGCCCTGAACTAGGCCAACTTTTAAAAAACTGAATTGATTATCTTTGGTCTGCATCATGCCAAAAGAGAAACCAACCCCAAAGTAGTAGTGAAGAGACCAGACCAGTGCCAGCGAACAATAGTCAACTCTAGGGCAACGAATCAATTCAATCGAATTTCATTGTGAGCCTATGTAGAAAGCTACCAGTGATTTCTTCTTCTCTTTCTTGCCTCCATTCACCTTTTCCTCCCTTTCTTCTCTGTTGTCCACCTCTAGTGGTTTAGACTGAGTAGACATTGTCTCACAACATCCATAGTTACAGAGTCTCAAGCTCACGCTTTTGCTGCATCTAATCGCCTTCAACATTTTCACTACAAATTATCCCACTGGTGATGTCAAGTTCAGCATTCCCAAGTCAGATTCTCCATGATGAAGGATATAGCAGTCAAGTGTCAACCTAAAAGGCTAAGTAAGCTGTTGTAACCAATCAAGCTTGGGGAATGAAATGAAGTCTTGATGCCTCAGCTCAACTGGTCACTTCACCACAGATCCATATCCTCTAGGTCAAGGGCAGCAGTCTCAAATGTTCTACTTATAGAATCTAGGGTTCAGCTCAGGGGAGCTACAGGAGTAAAAGTTAGCAGCTGTTTCCCACCTAAGTAGCAACTGCCACACAGGACTCAATTTTAAAGAACGTTGTTCTAAGAGCAATGAGCATGGCCGTTGCGAGAGGAGGAGAAGGAGATCAGGAGATCCTTTCCTTAGTAGGGACTTCATAACCACATTTGGGATTACACAGGCATCTGGGGGAAAGGGAAGCACACACTCAAGTCTATCAACGAACTCCTATTTTGATAACTACAACCCCAGAAATCTGAGAGTGCTGTTGTGAATGCTTGTAAAAGTTAAGAAGCTTCTCCTTAAATTAAGCAAGGGGGAAAGGGAGGAATGAATGCACTTCATTTCAATTTCTTCCTCTGCCTTTCACATACAAACTAGTCACACAAGTAATGATAAATGAGACCTGGAGAAGAGCAAGAAATGTCAAGGACAATTGAAAAGGGTTGTACTTTTGGCTATTGGGCCATGAAAAGGGGTCACCATGCCTTCCAGTAACCCTCAGGTTCTCACAAGTGTATTTCTATCAAAGTTTTTTTTCTCATGTGCATTTAATGAATCATATAAGCACAGCTGTTTAAAAGGAGAAAGTTTAGTCTAGGGTGTCCCTTGTCAGAGCAATAGATATTCTAGGCTGGATGTATCCAGTTATCAGACTTGTGGTTTTTAAAACTAAATTTCTCTTTTGAAATGCATGAAGTTGACATGAACTCATTTAGTCTCATTTCCCATAACTTTTTAAAAATAGATGTGTGATCTTGAGCAACAGGAAAATAGTCAAAGAAGAATGATCCCATTTTATCGATATAACTCACAGTGCCTACCATCTTTAATCCAGGCAGAATCTTCATCAACTTCTGCCCAAAAGATGTGGTATTAGGCCTGTCATGAGTTGTGAAGGTTGGCATATGATGAAGTTGGTAATTAAATGCTATTTTTTCTTTGCATATGGTATAAGAACGATAAAGCACTAAATTCCAAAATGTATGTGTACATATATATGCAGCGTATACATAAGTAAGAGACAATATATAAACAGTGAGTATTCTCACCTCCTTACAATATTTTTTGCTTTAGAAGGCATGAGTATCAAAGTTGGAGTAGGGACAGTGATAAATTTTGTTATGACCCAGTAGTAAATCTACCATATTTTCCTGGGCCAAGGGTAAGAGTAGGAGGCTCAAAATGACTTAACTAAGAGGTGGAATTCTCTCTCCACCAGTGGAGAACTGCTCCCTGTATTTTCTTCTCCTATTCTATTTATGAGTAACCAGTCAGTAGTGTCCTGCTCCCAAGAGGAATGTCAGTCCCAGTTTCTGCCATAAAATGCACTTTTTTATTTGGACAGTCATGGAGGTTGGACATGTCATTAATTCAACAGTTTACAGGCATGGATTTCTTGGGATAAATCATGATTGTTAGGCTGTAGAACCCTTTTGTAAGACTATTTACTAGAGCCAGAACAATACCCAGACTATAGACTTCAATAGATAATTATGTTTTAAGGGACAATCTCTCCTATGGGGTATTCAAAGTCAGGTGACAGGGGTAATTCTAATGGGATTCTACTGTATTGTTTTTTTCTATCAATGTGACATTTGACTATTCAGCTATTAGATTACTTTTTTAAAAAAAAGTAAACATCACAAAATGTGACAAGGATTAATAAGTATAAAAATGTGAGCATCACAAGAATATCACTTGAGTCTCCTGGCTTTCTCTTTTTCTGACAGATTGTCACACCATCACTGAATTACGGAATGATTGTTTCATAATTCTCCTAGCATACTTCCTCACTTCTTTAACTTTCTTTTGGGTAAGCAGAGGTAGTGAACATAGTTTCTCTGGACTCTTTTTCCCAGAAGCTGTTGTTACCAATCCATGTTAACATCTTTGTCAGTAAAGGGCAGACAGCTGTGGCAACAAGCCGAGAAGGCAGGTGCATGTTGACAGGATCAAGGTTCATACAATCGAGATTGTTGCAACATTTTTCTTTTCTTTTTTCTTTTTTCTTTTTTTGGAAAGAACCCCACAGTTTCATTAGTATGATTTATTCTTCTGTATTCCAAGTTTAACTGAGGAAAAATAATGTGCATAATATACCATAAAACAGCATTCATTTATTCAGTAGATGTTTCTTAAGTGCCTGCTATGGACGTGGCACTGAACTAAGCCCCATAGGGGAGATAAAGAGGTATAAGATCATGGAGGCTGGCATCTCTATGCTCAAAAGTCCATTGGAAAAGATGGAGAACATACACGCAACTATCTCCACTTTAGCTCTCCATCAGCATCCGGCAAGACCAGTACATACTGCATACAATACATCAGTGTGGATTTGTATGCAGACGCACACCCATGTATATGTATGTATTTAGCTACCTGTACAAACACTATATATGTATACACACTATCTATGTAATATATATGTATAATGCATATAAATTCTAACAAGTGTATTTGTGTTATCTGGAAAATGGAACAGTTGTATCTTGAAGTGGTAAATGCAGAGAACTGGTTTTATTATTGATCTGTGGATTTAATGATTTCTAGACAAAAAAGGATGTTTAAGTGTATAATTTCTTTCCTTAATTTAATATATTTATGTAAATGCATGCCTGGAATTCTGGTTAGATTGGTGGTGTTGTTGTCCTTTAAACTGATAAAATGTATTAAACTTTATCTTATGAGCTAATGTACATGCGCTACTTTTAAATTATTTTTATTTCAGTAATTTAAAAACTCTATGGTGAAATGAATAATTTGAAGTGCATTAAAGTGTTTCATATTTGCACCAACTTTATAAACAACCATTTTGAAAGCAGTCTACATCCAATTTACTTCCTCACAATCATCCTTGCCTTTTATAATGTAATTTTTTGTCATGCTCAAGCTTAGAAGTTTTATTCATAAAAATGGTTACTAATATTGAGAACTGGTTTAGTGTTTAGGTGGAGTAGGCTGTGACCTAGACCATATGGTTTTAAAGGTTCTGGGAGGATCCTTCTTGCCACCCTCCCCATCCTCTTCCTCAACCCCTCAAAAAGGCTTTCCCTACCTACTGGCTGATGGCTGAGATTCCTTTTAGGGGAAATAAAGTGCTTACATCCACAATTAAAGATTAGTTTTAAAATGCAAATGCAATGGGAGAAACATCCCATGGGCTTATATTTAGTCTAAGGTGTAAATGACTGATATAAGATCTTTGCACAAGAGACACTTGTTAAGGGAAGTGTAGAACATAGGGCATTGGGGTGTTGGATGCCTAAAATGGAGAAACCAGGCAAGATGGGGGTGAGAAAAAGATCCAGAAATGAGAGGCTGGGGTCACTCCAACAGTCCATGTCTAGCCCTCTCAATAGTATTCATATAAGTGTGAACTCAAAATCCACTCTTTGGGAAAGTAAAATATATGCATCTCTGCTCCTTTATTCCCAGATAGGTCAGAAAATGCATGTGGATCAAATCTAAGAATCTAGCTGGGGACAGTGGGAGGTCTTTGTGAAGGGGGTAGGGTACTCTGTGCTACTTCATTTACAGCAAAATTGCTACGTGGCAAGTGAAGCAATTTCACTTTTCATAACTACTCTAAATACCACTTAGTGCATTATTACCATCGACCGCCATAGTACCAGAATTTAGTTTCCTGAACTATACTCCTAGCACTTGGGGTTATATACTACATAATTTAGCCCTAGATTGTATTGTCTCCTATTTCATTCATATATGTGTGTGTATGTGTATATGTGTGTATACATATACTGTATTTATACATATATACAGTATGTGTGTATGTGTATACACACATACAGTATCTTGTTTTCTTGGAGACTGTAAACTTCCTGCAGGGTAACAGATGTTTTTTCTACTTCTTTGATATACCTCAGAGTACCCAGCAATGTATAAATGTACAAGCAGCAGGCAGAGTCGATGAAGTGTTAAATTATTGTTGGGAAGATCTGGGCTCAGATCCCTCCTCTTACAATTACTAGCTTGATGACTCTAAGGAAATCACTGAAACTCTATGCACCTTGAGTAGCTCCCTAGGATTTATGTTCTAAGTCATAAAATGATTTCAGCCTTCATTGGTGAAAGAAGTTCCCAAATGAAAAGTTCTCCCAAATAGGCTCCCATACCTGGAATGCTGTTCCTCTTCTCTACCTCCTGACTCCTTTGGCTGCTTCTTTCAAGTCTTAGCTGAAGTTCAACCTTTAGAAGACAGATAGATATAGATTCACATACATGCATATATACATATACACATACATGTATGTATATTTATATATACACACATGTGTGTCTATACATACATACACACATACATATATTATTTATATATAGTTGTTCACATGTTATCTCCCCCCTTAGATTGTGAGCTTCTTAACAGCAGGGCCATCTTTTGCTTTCTTTGTATATCCAGGATTTAGCACAATGCTTGGTACGTACTAAGCACTTAATAATGCCTATTGACTGATTAAATGAATGAACCATTCAGTAAATAGAGTAGCCAAAAATGTACTACAGTTACAAATCAGGATGAAGTCTATCAAGACCACAAGCATAACCCTTATAAATCCCCATTATGTTGTATTCTATAGAGTGCATGATGAGAAGAATTTGACTTCCAAATTAAGTACTTAATACTCAGGTTTCCAAATTAAGTACTTAATACTCAGGAATAAAAAAAAAATCAATGCTATCATAAAATATTTTGATAACTCAAATCTAAGGAAAGATACTGATGCTTATCAACTTGGGGGCAAGTTCCATAGCCTCTCTGTATCAGTTTCTTCACCTGTAAAATGAAGATAAAATACTTGGACTACCTACCTCACAGAGTTTTTTGTGAGGAAAGTGTTTTGGAAACCTCAAAGTTTTCCGTAGATATGTCATTATTATTATTCTCACACCACAATTATAAACAAACTATCCAGGACCTCAGTTTCTTCATCAGTAAAATGAAAGGTTTGGCCTAGATGGCCTCTGAAGTCCCATAAATTCTAGATCTACAAACCTATGAGCTATCAGACCAGTGACTAATGAAACAGATGAGTAGGGAATTAATTGGAGTGTGGGTAGAAAGCTTGCCAGTTCATAGATTATCAGCACCAAGGCCAGGGAAGGCAGGGGAGCCATTAGCATGTATAGGGGTCAGCACCTTGGCTAGTAAAATGCATTGGAGTCAGCCACAGTTAGGCTACACTACACGGTCAATGGTGTATGTAGCCAGAAAGAGAAAGTAACTACTGCTAATGGTAAAAAAAATAATTAGACTGGCCTCAACTGAGAAACTTGTTGACAGTAGATTATTTTCAAGAGGAATTCAGACCCAAATAAGCCTTCAGGACTCAAAAAGATTATGGCTACCTGTTACTCTGTAACTCTGACCCATGCGAAAGCACCCAGGAGAGCAGAGTAGTAGTAGAAAAGAATGATGTGTCTGTTTCCCTTCCTCTCAACATGTCTTGTGTGTTATGATTATGATTTGAATCTCTCTGTTGGCTGAGGGGCATCTCTCTGGTAGATGTAAATCAGTGTGATATGGTTATCCTGAGACCAAATAGGCTCCATCTCTGTCCAGATAATTGCCTGAGACTCTGCTCAATGAGTCCCAACGTGTGTGTGTGTGTGTGTATGTGTGTGTGTGTGTGTGTGTGTGTATGTGTGTAAGAGAAACAGAGACAAGAGAGAAGGAAGAAGGGAAGGAGAGGGAGAGATGTTGGGGGAGGAGAGAAATTCAGTCATAACATATTTGCTCATTGCATTAGAAACTTAGAGATTTGCTTTTTGCCATTTTCCAGTAGGTGTTTCTTAAAGTAGCAGCCACACTTCATCTCTCCTCAGGACAAGCATTGGTTCTCCTAGTTAAAGATCCAAAAAGGTTCCAAAGAAGCCTAATCCTGCATTTATTCAGAGAAATGAGGAGACGCATTTATAAGAAAAACACTACACAGTGTACATAAGAACAAAGCACATTACATTATTTTTCTATATTTTCACAATCTGATTCATATTCATGTTTCCATAGATCATTTTATATCATGAGTACCTGAAAAACTTCTTAAAACCTGTATAGCTCTTTACTACAAAAATGTGTTCTTGTGGCTGTGCCAGCATTAGAAAGTGCTTGAGCTCACCCACGTAACTTAGTAAAATGTTGCCAGATTCCTTTGACATATTTATAGTCTTATAATTAAACTAGTCTTTGATTCAAAATCCATAAGCAGTCATTAGGATATCACGGACACCCATTTCTATGGTCAAAGCAATCTATGGAACAAAGTTTTCTACAGAAGGGCATCACTTCTCGTAAAGGAAGACACTAGGGCAAGCAACATTTTGTCCATCAAGAATGTTTAACATGTAACTAATAGGAAAGCTGGGTGAAAATGGCCATGTCGTATTAGTGACAGGACAAAGTTAAGAGAAAGTATAGGCATGAACCCATAGGCTGAAATTTGAACATAGAAGATGGCTTAAGTGGGAATACTCAAAAAGGAAATTCTGATCATTTAGTTGAAGGATGGCAGTAAGGAAGGAAAGGGAGAAGCATCTTAAAAATTGTGTGGGTTTATTGAGACTTGCTTGATTAGCTTAAATTTTTAAAGGACACATACTAAAAGGTAGAAAGACATATATCCAAAGATACAAAAAACAAAACCTCATGCCTCTGTATAAATAACAAGATTAAAATTCCAAACCCAAAATGAACTAAGGTTATTATCTTTAGTAGACAACAAAGAGGTAGGGATTTTTTAGGTACATTAAGAGTAAAACGAAGATGTATTCTCTCTCATCTGGGGAAGAGGTTTGAGGTAGAAGAGTGAGAAGGTGGATTTTATTGGATTAAAACAAATACTTTTTTTAAACAAGAGTCAGATGAAGAACAAGGATGGAATAGGCCAACTGACTATGGCAGACAGCGGAAATGATGAGGTAAAAGGCAAAAACTACTCAGTCAGCAAAGCAAATGGTCTTCACATAGGAGAATGTATCATAAACTCATTTGGATTCCAAACTGTATTCCAAGATAATGAGGAGATAAAAAAGGTGCACCCAACTATTCTAAATGAGTTCATTTATCCCTGATCCAGATGAACAATAACCCAAGTTACTTAAAGAATTTGCAAATGTGCTCTCTAAACAGTCAGTAATCTTTGCAGGGCAGAGAAAAGAAGTAGTGTCAGAACTCTTCCAAAAAGTGGATTCCAAGAAACATTAGATGCCCATAAAGATTATAGAAAGAATTATTTAAATGGGTGGTTTCAGAGTATTTCAAAAGAACAGGGAAGATAATCAGGTGATCATCATCATGGTTTCACTTAGAGTTAGTCGTGCCAGACTACCTCATTTCCTTTTTTGCTAGGATTACTGGACAAAAAGATCAGGAAAATGGTGCCAATACTTGTAGACTATCAGCTCATTAGGATAGTGGAAAGAGCGTTGGATCTGGACTCAGAGGACTTGGGGCTAGATCCCAGCTCTTCCACAGTGTAACCTTGGCCACTTTATTTCTGGGCTCTGGGATCCTCATCTGCAAAATTCAAAACTTGGACTATATAACTTCTAAGGTCCCTTTCAGCTCCCAAAACAGGGAGTCCTAAATACAGGGAACCACTGTGTCCAAGAAGAAGAATAGAACAATTGGTAATTATCCTGCGTCCCTAAGCTATAAAAGAATGGTCAAGGCATTCTCCTGAC